TCTGTGTGTGTGTGTGTGTGTGTGAGAGAGAGAGAGAGAGAGAGAGTCACTATGACTGACTTCTGCATTTAATTCTCAGTATCTTTTGAAAATCCAAAACAGATCATGAAGAATCATATATCAAATTGATTCAGTGGAGACTCTAGATAAGTTTCGCTAATTTTGTTTTATACAAAGCAATTTTCCTAAAAGCATAAGTGCATGCAAAAGCATAGTTGATTTATCATGAATTTTCTATAAGATAGCAAAATGAAATAAAAGCTTACATGGCTTGCCAACATAAAGAGAATCAGATTATAAGCTGCCCCAGCCCATGCCGCTTCCGCCACCACCCCAGTGGCCTTAGTAATTTGAGATTTGAGCGGAAAGGTAAGATAGAGCCTCAAGAGGAACTGAAAAATTATAGTGAATCGTAGGATGAGTTTTGCACTTATCATTGTTGAACCTCTTAGACAAGGGATTGCAGCCCAAATCAACACCTGAAATAGTTTTCAACAAAAACTTCTTTATTATCGAAAGCAGACTTTAAATTCCTTATATGTTTCAAATTCGACCAGTACAACCAAAATTTGATAACTCAATAATTATAGTTTAAAGGTCTAGATAATTTCACCTGATTGAAGACAAACCATAAAACAGTGAATAGATTTACTGTTATGCTATGCAAATCTGAGGAGCACATTAAAGCGATGAATCGTAGTCATCTATTGGAAACAACTTCCCTTCCACCAAATGCAGATCCTAATACTACTAATTAGTAAAAAAATAAAAAACCTAAGAGGAAGGCATACAAAAACAGATTAGAAAGGCAAAGTTTCTTCATCCTTCACCCCAGAAAAACTAGAAACATTTACAATAAAAGAAGTTCACAGGCTTTTCAATAAAAATGATGCTTGTAAATTTGCAATTCATAGTTAATCTAATTTGATGCTCAGTCTCGATGAAACTAAGTGCTACCTCTCAAAAGATCGATTGTTGTTTGTCATTACCTGTGGAAGGGGTAGAGCAGCCAATAGGTCAAGCCAAAAGTCTCTATGCATATATCTTGAGGCTATCTTTGTAGAATCTATAACCAGCTCTCCTCTCCCAAACACACGAGAGGACGGAGCAACATAAGCAGTTCGAAACCGGACAAAAATCTGGATGATGTAAAATGCATCAACTAGAGATCGAACAACTGTAAGGGCTATCTCAAGGGGCACACTTGCTTCCATGCACATATCCTCTTTCACCTCTGGCAAATAGAAAAATAGGGGATCGACGAAAAGGGAAATAAGGCAAGCAACTAAGAAACATTTGTTCCAGCGGTTTACAACAGTTCCTCGAGGATCTAGTATGTTCTTCTGCACCACATCATAGTCCTCAGAGAAAACTCTCAAAAGCTTTCTCTCTTGAAATTGCTTCCCNCAACAGTTCCTCGAGGATCTAGTATGTTCTTCTGCACCACATCATAGTCCTCAGAGAAAACTCTCAAAAGCTTTTTCTCTTGAAATTGCTTCCCTATTATCTTTGCCGTAGGAATCTTCATGCATGACTCGGGTGTTTGTTTTCCACTGATTACAGAGCTGAGCNTCTCTCTTGAAATTGCTTCCCCATTATCTTTGCCTTAGGAATCTTCATGCATGACTCGGGTGTTTGTTTTCCACTGATTACAGAGCTGAGCTTGAACAAATTGCCTCTTTTGGGTGTTGCCAACTTTGCAGTTTCAAGATCATCTTGAAATCTGACAACAAATATCTGGTGACTATTATATTCTGAGTGTCACTAGCACAAAGCAATTATTATAGAACAATATTCACCTTGATACAAAAGTTCATAATACAAGTTAAAGGAAAGAGATGAACAAACCTCACAGATTTTGAATTACCAAAATCCATTGAGCCGCTCAGATTACACGGGTGCTATGAGTTAATAAGTGGATTTCATCTGCTACGCAATAAAACCATAGCAACATAAACATCAGGGCATGTGTCACAAAAAAATGATTTGATTTAAAGGCTCATCATTCACAATCACAAAGAATGGGTGGCCTTTTCGTAGGTACGGCATTGGGAATCATGTGAAAGCAAAGTATAAAAAAGTTTGAAAGCTAAAAGCAGTACAATCTTGGGGAGGGAGAGGGGGGGGGGGGCAATTCAACAGATATTATTGCAACGCAAGGATGAAGAAGACTCCTACAATCGTTCTGTTGTTTGCAACTTGATGAAACAGGCTAAGGGAACTTACATACATGTATTGGTCTGGTCCTGTTGGCTGCTAGAAATATTATTGGAAATGTAAAGGCCTTCTCATTCTTCCACACTTCTTCTCAGCTGAGAATTCCATTGAAGCTAAGGGACTAATATTTGCTGATTATATATGACTGAAAACACAAAGGAAGTATTTGTTGGGGGGCAATGGAACAGTGTTGCCATTTTTCAGAATCTTGTCAAAGTGACTAAAAACCTTGAATTTCGTCAAAGTTTATATGTACATACACATACAGTTTAAGGAATTTAACTTAAAAAAAAAGTTGGGTTTTAACGTTTATTACTTCATATTCTGGAAGTGGAAGTTTGAATTGTTAGAGGAATGGATCAGCAAGAGAACAGGACAGAGAGATGGATCTATTTTAATGGGTCCACCATCAAAGAGATAAATTGCTAATATTAGTTGACCCATCAGTCGGCCTATTGAACAGAGAGTGATCTCTCACCACTGACTACCTTTAGCAGTGGACGATGTTGCAGAGAAGAGAAAACAGAACACAAAATTCTGGCAATTTCCTTATAGAAGACTATGGTATCCGTGCAAGGCACACTTTTTTTTTTTTTTAATTATAGTTTATTGTGTGCTATTAAAATATTTAATATGATTATAAGGTTAAATATAAATAAACAAGTTTACAGTTAAAATGTTAATCGCTTATATACGTCATCAGCTCTAAACAATTTGGACCACTGCTATACTTTTACGGCCAAGCTTTGAGTTTTATTATATAAATTTACAACTAAGCTGAGGCAGCATCAATTTGTAGGAAGCTAAGCTGCCGTTCCACTATTATGATCTTTTTTCCTTGCTGCAATTTAAAATTTTATTTTTCATTTCTATTTACTTAGTTCATATCATTATTTCGTGTGTTCTAGGACGAATTTAATTTTTTTAATCTCACAATACCACCCAAATAACTGCGATGAGGGAGTCAAAAAGGTCAAAAATAATTTTGGAATTTTTCTCATTTGATAATAAAAATGATGCTAAGGCTGCAGTGGGTAGGCAAATACTTTAATTTTTTTTGGTACCACAGTCAAGTCCTTTATTCACGAACCACCTTTAGTAACGTTGTTGCTCCGGAAATCATGCCCGTGGCCTCAACCCAAGTTCAATACAAATTCAAAAATCTAAACACGGCAATAATCAAGTTGAAAGGTTTCGAGGCAAAGAACTTATTGGACCCTGAAAGTGCATGCAAGTCCCCAACAAACAATACGAATGATGAACAGCAACACTGTAAAAGTGTTCCCAATACCTGCATCGCATCAGAATCACAAGCATCCATTACACCCAAGAACTAAGGTTAGATGTGGCCAACACCATATTGATGTTCTTGTCTAAAGGAGGTCAAAATTCACCCCAAGTTTTACGAACCCTGCCAACCTAACTTAACCGGAGGATTGTGATTGGCTGTGGCAGAACAGAAACCAAATAGCCTTTTACAAGAGCACTGCAAGTGGAGTGGAACCAAGGGACATGAAGGACTTCACCATGGTGAATTCATTATTTGTGTAGAACCCACCTTTGGGATTTTTTCGAAGTTCCACATTTTTTCCGCCATAGATGAGTCACCACCGTGAGACACCAAAATTCCCCTGATTCATTAATACATGCAGTCAAACAAATATAAAGTTTAAGTGGGCTTACCTGAACTACCAAACACATGAATTGCAGTCAATAGAGTATGTCTATGACTTTTATCCCAGCACCTTGACAAGGTTTCCCGGATACCTACTCCAAATATAACCAAGGCCTTGGGTTCTGTCTGTACTTACACAAGGTTAACAATCCCCTGCACATTCAGTTAACTATCACAAAATTCTCATAACGCATATACCAGAAAGTCATCAGATACAACAATCATCTGCCCACAGCACCAAAATGACAAGTAATTGGCTACAACGCACATCATCTGAATAATATTCAAAACATATATTGCAAAAAGTTACACTCAGATGCTTTTGCTCCTGTTAGTCTGGAGAATGAGACTTAATCCACAATTTCAGCTTTGGTTTAAGGACCAAAGTATATGGACTTCATATCATTTGATGAACTTCAACCTATCTTGCACTTGCATAGCTCTAGGACCTGTTACAGAAATCAATATATTGTAAAAAGTTAGAAGTGTAAGATAACAACCAGGAAAACACTCTTTTTCCAAAAGTAAATGAGGGAAAATACTCATTTAATTAACAGTAAAACTTGAACATAAATTTGTTTAAGGAAGATAGTGAACTTGAGAGTTCAAAACAAATATGAAAACATAAGGACAACAATTGAAATACAAGAGACTAATCTTGCAATAGGGCTCCATATATGACAAAATGGGTAATGAAACAACTCTGCATAGGCTTCACAATCTTAATAATCCCTTTTGAGACTTGATTTGTCTACATATATACTATGTAAGTCCGTCTGTTAGCAACTAATTTTGAGAAGAAAGTTTACGAGAAAGCAGAAAGACAGCGCCAGATTTATACCCTGAGTTTTGCTTGGTTGAATGTAGCAATAAAGATTCAACGATCAAAATTGACGCCTTGGCCGAGCTTCAGCAACACTAACACGGATTGCTCTGCCATTAAGGTCCTGCATTTGAAGCATATATTTAGGCCAAAATTACATGAAATATTCCAAACTTACTACATATCTGGTACTAAAATAAATGGCAGCATATCAAAATTCAGGTCAAGCATGCGAATTCGATTCTGATAGCAAAAGATAAATAGGAGAAAGCAATCCATGAATTTATTCAAAAGAAAATGCACGAAATTTATGATTATTACAGACGTCCAATACATTTCACAATAACACAATTACTCTTACATGATAAACAGTATTAAATGGACACCAAACAAGGTCCAACGTTTATAAACTTGAAAATATAGCTTTCAGTTTGGTCGAGGTATGTTTACAAGCTACTGAAAATGGACAAACACAAGACTAGTACTATGCACAGCTGCTCTAATGAGAAACCATATGATCATAATATATGGTTCAATCAACAAAACCAATAGTATAAAAAAGGACCATGAACACACAGGCTTTCAATATGTGATCTATAATGGCATAAGGATAACTCAAAAAAATTAGAAGGCTGATCTTATACTTACAGCACCATCCAGTGATTCAATTGCACTATTGACCTCATCAGCAGAACTGTAAGTCACAAATCCGAAACCTCTTGATCTGCCACTGTCCCTGTCATAAACCACCTTGGCTTCCATAACCTTCCCTTGTTCACCAAACAAGGTTTCAAGAGCTACATTGTCAACACTCCAATCAAGATTTCCAACATAAACTCGGTTAGTGTTATCAAAACTTGTACCCCCCCTAGGTCCTCTAAAAGAAGACTCTCCTCTGAAAGAAGACTCTCCTCGGAAAGAAGACTCTTCCTTTCGAGGAGGAGGACCAGAATTCACCCTCAATACCCTCCCGTCAAGTTCCTGTCAAATGGCATAAAATTTGATTAAATGTATACATGTAATAAACCAATGGTCACATGTGACTGTACCCTCCAATCTCGAAAATATGAAACACAAAAAAAATTTATTGCGATTTATGCCATAAGTTTTTTCAAGTGAGATTCAAGTACAGGCTCCGCTTGTCTCATAAAATTGATTAAATGGACTTGCATTATGCCAAGTAAAACAAAGTTCTCAACTTTTAAGTCAACAGTTAATGTAAAAATTGAAGCATTGTATTTTTGTTGCAGAACACAGCAAATGAAACTATAGACAATGCAACATTGAAAAAACAAAGGGAACAAACTAACGAAACTTACATAACCATCCAATTGTTGAGCAGCTGCTTTGACTTCCTCAACCGAAGACATTGTCACAAAACCAAATCCACGGCTTCTTCCAGTGAACTTGTCGTATATAACCTGCCAAAGCCAATCACTTCAGTATGCATAAACTTGTCATCATTGTTGATTAAACCCCTATTACCTAACATCCTAAAATTCCCCCCAGAACAACAAACAGAACATAACAAAGTTATTATTCTAAAATGTTTCACCAAAACAGAATCACAAAGGAAAGGAATCACCACCACCTACATGGCTACACCTAGAATGTCCTGATACATGGAATGTCAAGATAATTATATTCAATGAAAATAAACAACAAATTGTTAAAAGGGTTGATTTGTCTCCATAAGTCATTTTACTGTAAACCTTCCTGGCAGTTTTTCAAAACTCCCCATTTCATTTCTTCACTATTATCTGCCACACAACAAAAGCAATACACAATATAATCCAAACCCAGCAAAATTTAGAAGAAATACCACACATCAAACACAAGTTATCAAAAATATTCGAACAAATAAAATAAATAGGAGTAAGAAAAGTAATACCTCAACCATCTCTACATTTCCGAATCGTTCAAACAACCCAGCCAGAGTGGCACTGTCCACGCTGAAAGGCAAGTTACCCACGAAGAGTTTGAGGTCAGGTGAGAAACTACGTTTGTCTGCATCGTCCTCGAATACCTCCTCTTCTCCTTCTAATTGCTCAAAATCAGACGAAACTGCGACTTTTCCAACCAAGCGAGAGGACGAGGCTTCGAAAATTTTATATGAAGAAGACAAGGAAACGAGCTTGGGAAGTGTTCTGAGTGGTAAAGAGAAGAGAGATAGTGAAGTGGTCGTGGGTTTGGAGGCGGAGAGATAAAGGGATTGGGGAGTGAGAGAGAAGAAATGGAGAGACGAAACAGAGGCGGCCATGGCTATGAGAGAGAGAGAGAGAGAGAGAGAGAGACTGGGTAGGGTTTTCTGTCTCAGCCGATAAGGTTTTGCGGAGGAGGGAAGATATTGGGGTGAGAAAACGAGCAGATAAATTTACACTCTCACTCCCTAAACTATGAATTTTATTTCACTTTATCCTTTAAATTATTTAAATTTTCACATTACTCCTTTAACTACATTGATTATTTCATATTGCCCCAATAACTCTTGTCCGTTTTCTTTTTGGACTGAAATTGTTGACATGTCAGAGCAAAGAAAAAACATTACTTAGTTCGGGAGGCAAAATAAAATAACCTTCTATTAATTATGTAAAAGACTTTAATAATTAAGGTAATGAGAAACTAATCATATAGTTAGGATGCCAATGTGAAACATATAATAGTTGAGAGGACAAAGTAAGAAAAATATTCATAATAACAAGGTCGAAGTGTATTTTTCCAAAATTTAGATGATATTAGTTTGAAAAAATTACAATCAGACCCTTCAAAGTTTGTCACTCAACCTAAAAAGACCCCTAATATTTAAAATATTATATATAAATCCTCAAAAATTTATACTCGGATAGCACATAGACCCTGTTAATGTTTTAATAGTAAATTATATTCAGACCCCTAAAATTTAAATTATATAATACTTTGACCCTCAAGTATAAAATATTATTACACTTAGACAAAAAATACTTTAATAAAAGATAAAATACAAATATTTTTAATTTTACAAAAAAGAACCTTTAAATTTAGATGATATTAGTTTGAAAAAATTACACTCAGAGTCTTCAAAGTTTGTCACTCAACCTAAAAAGACTCCGAATATTTAAAATATTATATATAAATCCTCAAAAATTTATACTCGCATAGCATATAGACTCTGTTAATGTTTTATTAGTAAATTATATTCAGATCCCTAAAATTTAAATTATATAATACTTTGACCCTCAAGTATAAATATTATTACACTTAGACAAAAAATATTTTAATAAATTATTATATACAAATATTTTTAATTTTACAATCAAAATTTATGTTCTATTATGTCATTTGTTGAAATAAAATCAGACATAAAATTATAATTTTTTTTCTTAAAAAATTATAATTATTAATGTATGTCAAAATTTGGATAACCTTCGTGTCAATTTGTTGGACTTTGAGCTCCTTAAAAAAAAAATGGAGGAGATTTGAGAGGAGCTCCAAGGGACGGGCGGATTTTATAGTGGGGGCAGCTAACCTCGACTAGAATTGTAAAAACATTTGGTGACTAAGGTTAAATTTTTGAAATTTTAAAATCTGCTAAATATTACCCCACTGGAATTGTAAAAACATTTGGGGAGTAACATGAAAGTTTTCAAATTTTAGAATCTATTAAAAGTTGCCCCAATGGAAAAGATTTTAAACTCATGACACATTTTTTTTTATCTTTAATTGGGGGTAATTTAGTTATTTAATAAGTTCCGTTAGTTCCATAACTAATAAGATATCTAAGTGTAATATTTTAAAATTGATAGGTGTACGTGTTATACTTTTATAAACTTTAGGGACTCTGAATATAATTTTTTAATAAATATGCTAACAATTTTGACACAAGCATCTAAGTGTTACGTCTGTACAAATTTTAAGAGGTTCATATATAATATTTTAAATATCAGGGGACTAAGTAATTAAATAATAAATCTCATAGAATTGGGTGTAATTTTTCCTAATAGTTTTCAATTTTTCAATTTTTGTTTTTTTTTGGGGGTTCAATTTTTATTATTGGGTAACAAGAAAAATCGTCCTAAATGACTATTTTTTGGACTCCTCATTAAAAATATAAATTTTGTAATGATAAATCATTTGGTCAATAAACATACTCCAAGTAGTGAGTAATAAACATACTTCAGATTGATAGTGAGTAATACAAATCATTTGGTCAATAAACATACTCCAAGTAGGACTATTGATATCC